AACTTTCCTAGCGAACATTAGTTCAGCTGGTGCCATGTTTGAATGTGTTCTCTGGTTTGGCGTGATTCTGTATACTTGTAAGAATTGCTGAAGCACCTTTTCCGTTGGAACTCCTGAGGCTTTCTTCAGAGCACGCTTTAAAGTATCGACAAATCTTTCTGCGAGTCCATTAGACCTCGGATGATATGGAGGCGTCGTTATGTGGTTAATTTGATATAACTCACAAAATTCCTTAAATTCTTCAGAAGTGAATTGTGTACCATTGTCACTCACAATACACTCTGGCACACTGAACCGTGCAAATAGTTCATGCAAAAAAGTTGTTGTGGTATTGGACGTAGGCTTTTTTACAGCGTAGTACTTCCGGCCATTTTGTAAAACTATCTACCACTATTAAGTAGTAAAAAATCTTCTACTGGACCAGCGAAATCAATGTAATCTTGTCCACGGATGATCCGTCTTGGGCCATGGTTTGTGTACTATAGGTGGTGCCTTAGCTGCTAACGCACACCCCTTACATCGATGAACCATGTTTTCGATATCCACATCCTTTCCTTTCCAATACACAAAAGCTTCGCATTAAGCTTTTTGTTCTATTAATACCGGGTGACCCATATGAAAGTCCCAAAGTATTCTTTTCTGCAACTTTTTGGTACTACTACTCTCTCACCATATAATAAAACTCCTTCACCTATTGAATAAATCTCCTGCACTTTTTTTGGTCATTCGCTACCATTTTGCTTTTAATTTCTAAATGAAATCATCGCTTTCAGCTTCTTTTTTAATTTCATTTAGCGTAACCGGTAGCTCTCTTACAATGTTGTTTACCATGCTTTTCACCTCATAATCTGCTCTGATATTTGCAATAATTGATTCTTCGAATCTTTCTTCTTGCCTCGGTACTAGTCTTGATAGACTATCCGCATGAATTATCTTTTTGGATGATAGGTGCTTTATGTGAAAATCATAATTGAGAAGAATGGTTCCCCATCTTAACAGACGATTTGCTGTATAAACGGGTAACCCTTTCTTTGAACCAAAAATGGTGATCAGTGGTTTATGATCCGTTTCAAGGATAAAATGTCTGCCGTGGATGTACCTGTGAAATTTTTGTATGGCAAAAATGATACTCAGTGCCTCTTTTTCTATCTGAGAGTAACTTCTTTCTCCTGGGAGCAAAGTTCTCGAAGCGTGTGCAATTGGTTTTCTAGAACCATCTGGCATTATGTGTTGAATACACGCCCTATTCCGTATGAACTAGCGTCACTTGCCACTACAATATCCAGTTTTGGATTGTAATGGGTTAAAAAGAGGTCGGACGTAAGCATTTTCTTTATTTCATCAAAGGCTTTCTGACATTCTACCGTCCATTCCCATGCCTTGTCTTTTTTTAGCAGTTCATTCAACGGAGCTCTTAAATTGTACATTCCTTTAATGAACGCTTGATAATAATTTGCAAGACCTAGAAAACTTTGTAGCATCGCCACATTAGTGGGCGTCGGCATGTCTCTAATCGCAATGGACCTTTCCGGATCTGGACATCTGCCATTTTTGTTGATTATGTACCCTAAATACTTAATTTCCTCCAAACCAAATTCGCACTTTGACTCTTTGACTTTAAATCCAAAGTCCTGAATTTTTTTAAATACTTGATTGAGATGCTCTCGATGTTCGTCGACCGATTCGCTCCTTACTATGATGTTGTCTAAAGTAAGCGCACGCAAAGTCTAAATCATTCAGCATGACGTCCATAGCTTGTTGAAAAAATGGCAGGTGCCACTTTAATACCAAAAAGGAAGCCTGTTGTACTTGAATAACCCTCTATGCGTGTTTATCCCTAGTAACTTCAACATTCCTCTTCGACGGGAAATTTGGAGATAGGCATCTGATAAGTCAATTTTTGAAAATATAACTCCACCATTTAGCTTGTTAAAAATCTCCTCCGGACTCGGTAATGGTAGTCCTTAATTACCGAGTTCAACCCTGTCGAAAAATCAACGCAGACTCTGACTTGGTTTGATTTCTTTTTATGCACACAATCGGCGCAGCTCATGAATTAGATTCTACTTTCGAAATAATTCCCATTTTTCCAACCTATCAAGTTCTTCGTTAATTTTCTCTACACTTGCGAAAAGGCACATTACGTTTCTTTTAAAAATTGGCATAGTATTTTCCTTTAATTCGAATTTGGCTTCAAACTTGTTACATCTTCCAAGACCAGGTGTGAAAGTTTCGAAACTTTTTTTTAATTCCTCAATAATGTCCTGTCTTGTTTGCATATTACTTTCTACTTTTTGCAGAAAGAGTTTAACGGTTTATCCCACAATTCGAATGTTTCAATAAAATCTGTACCCATCAAGTTTTCTCCATTTTTCAGAATGAAAACTTTTATTTTTTTAACTATCCTGTTCAATTTCATGGGAAGTACAACCTCGCCTTCGAATTTAATTTCCTTTCCAGTCACTGTTCGAAAGCGCGCTTTTGTTGACTTCATTATTGTAGGCCTTTTTAAAATTTTCCATGTTTTATAGTTCATTATTGTTAAATCTGAACCCGAATCGAGTTGAAATTTGATATTCTTTTTTAAATATTTCAGTCATCACATATTTCCTCAAATCTCTATCTGATTTGATATTTGAATTTGTTTGACTAATTCGGCTATTGACTTTTTTTCGTTTACAACACGACCCTTTGTGACCATTCTTGTGGCACACGAAACATTTTTTATTTCTATATGGGCAATTTACCTCCCAATGTCTTTCGTTGCACCGTCTACAATTAAATGGCGGAACCATTTTTTTACCTTCCTCATTCTTTTCATTTAATTTTTTTTTTTTTTTCTATTTTTAAAATACGCCTTAATTTTTAATCCAATTTTTTCTGATGGGTAATTTGACTGTTTCTTCACTTTTTAATATAAGCAATACCAGCTTCTTCAATTTTTTTGAGACTCTTTCTTTAAACTTACGGCCCGCTGACACTCCTCTGCTAACTTTTGCAGGGTAAGGTTTTGTTCAGATTCGAGTTTAGACAAAACTCTACGTCTTATTTTGGCACTTTTACTGGATACCAGACCTTGAGCAAAAAAATTAAACACTTGAATTCTTCAACCGTAATCTCTGCCAATCTGAAATTGTCACAATGTCTATTCACTATAGATGCATAAGTTAAGTAATCCTGATCGTCGGATTTAGCGACATTCATGCATAACCATCGCTTATGCCAAAGCGACATATTTGCTCCAAACAACTCCTTTAGCAATTTCACTGTTTCCGAGAATTCCAATTCATTTGTTCTTCTCGGTAGAATAAAATCTACAAATTTGCTATGTTCTGCTGTACCTAGCTTTCTTAGTAATAGACTGACTTTTCTTGAATTCGACCAGTTTTCACAGTCTGTGTGGAAAATATCTTCATATCGTTTAAAGTACGCTTCAAACGTTTTTCCTTCGTCTGGCACATAGTTGAAAGTTTCCAACGAATTAAATATGATGTTATTAGAATATGAAGAGTTACTTTCATTTGCCTGATTGTTGTTTAATTTCTCCAATGTTAACTTTTGAATTTCCAAAACCTTGACATACATTTCTTCCTGTTCCCTTTGACGTTGCTGACTCAACTCCTCTTGCCTTTCTTGATAATTCTGCTGTGCTAATTGTTGTTCTCTTAATAAGGCAACCTGTTCACTTTGTTGTTGCAGACTCAACTGCTGGGATTTGAATAATTCAGCTTGACTCAACTGCTGGACTTTAAACAATTCAGCTATGACTTTGGATAATTCCTCCATTTTTAGCTGATAGTGTTCATGCAACAAGAATATACTTTTAAATTGTTTATCCACGAATATACTATAAGAAGACAAAAAAAATGAAACAACTTACGCCTTTTTTAATTTTATGTCTTGCTTTATAAAATATTGTTGAGTTAACCAAACAAAAAAAAAAAAACAAATTTTTTTTTTTTTTTTACAAGTTCGCTTACCTTTCAAAGTCAACACGTGGTATTTGTGCTCCTTTTAATTCCATGCATGTTTTTTTTAGTCGGCCAGCATTTTTTTTTTTTCTTTTTTAGTCGGCCAGCATTTTTTTTTTCGCCGTTATGTTTACGCCACCTTCCAGATTTTTCTGAGTGAACGTTCCTTTAAGCTTAGTCGTCCTTTAACTAGTTTTAACTGTCCAAACTTCAGAATACTTTTCCGAAACGTAAAGTTCTTTATACCTCGTCGCCATTGTTGAAGCTTGAATAAGCATGGAATAATAATAATACAACACAAAATGTACGTAACAAAATGTATTGAAACAATGAAAAAAGGTACACAATATTTACAGGTAGTTTTGGTATATTCTTGGGAAGACTGTTCCTGCAGAATGGGTTGACTAAGTCGCAGTCAGGCAGAGTCTCTGGATTCGATCTCTTAATCTTCCCTCGTCTTCCGGTACCAACCCATATTTATATGGTCGGTACTCCACTTATGTAAATTAGGTGTATCATACACAACACTTTTTTGTCTTGTTAGGATGCATCTGCTTACAATTAACCAATTTAATGGAGTCTTTATTTTTGTTTATATTAAGTTTGTTGCTTATTTTTTTTAAATTTCTTTAAAGCTAATTTTATGTCTTCATCAACAACATGGTTTTGGAAATTATTGCATTTGTTTTAAATGTTGTTTAATTCCCTATAAAATAATTGCACCCGAAGAGGAAATCATTTTTCCATGATAAATCCTGTTTTTTATAACACCTATTTTATATCTGTGTCAATATTTGCTTTCATAATTACGGAAATGTGAATTTTTTTATATATATTGAAGTGATAAAATCATTATTAGCATCTATTTTAACATCCATGAAATGGAGTATATTCTTAATGTTGAGTTCATAAGTAAATTGTAGAACTGAGTCACTCTCAAATGTTTCTTTAAGAATTTTTAATTTATTTATTACTGCCTAAATACACCTTTTATTTATTGAGATATATAACAATTTTTTTTCTTTTTAGATGAAAAGTCTTTTAAATGATTTGTCCTTTCCACTTGAAAAGTAAGCTGAAACAGATTTCAAAAATACTGTGGTAAGTTGAAAGTTATTATTCTTAAATTCTTCAAGAAAAACTTTGATTATTTAATAAAATATATTCTCTCGGCTTCTAATTATATAGTGTGTGCCCTCATCATTTTTTGACATATTTGTGCCTATCAATTACTTTTATGGAATAACAGCCAGACTACCCAAACAATTTGATTATTGGGGTGAAGGCTTGTATAGAACTAGTCAAACATTTTGCAAGACCTGATAAGAGAAATGGTGTACAGTGTATGACTGTATAAACAGCTATACTCAGGTTTGAATTCAAAGTTGTCCTTCTCCTTGATTGGTTGCCACAAAGTCTAAGAGAGGCCAATCTGCCTTGCTATTTAACCCATAGCTGGATGGAAAGGGTATTTGTATTAAAATGACTATAACAAACTCAGGTGGAATTCACTCAGCTTACCAGTTTTTATTTTCAAATTGTTCACACATCTACTGGAGCAGCTAGCCAATCCGTGCTAAGAACCCATCTGTGGTTTATACTACAACTATGTTGAGTAGATCTTGAGTTACAGTTTCAGAGAGAGAGAGAGAGAGAGAGAGAGAGCATGCATGTTCTGGTCTGAACAAGTTCGGTATACTTAAACACTCAGTCATGATGACTTGTGACTTTGTGCTAGCACAACCGTCAAAAACAAACCATTCAATTTCATTCACAAGGATTGGGTCAAGCCGTGCATGGTGTGGTTTTCAAGCATTTTCCAAAGCTGCCATATACTGGGATCACCTTCCTAGGCTTCTTCCTGACAAATTGACCCCTGGTAAGGTACAAAGACAGGTTTCATAGTCAGAAAGTAAATGTTCTAACCACTCAGCCACATGCCCATATATTATTTAACCCATAAATACCTTAAAAGTATATTTTATCATATATATACACACACACACACACACACACACATTAGGAACATGTTTGCAGTCGTTTTGGAAGATGGGTGTTATGACAATTTTTTATACAAGGAATTCTATTTAATATAATGTTTATTGAATACAACTGGATACATTAAAAAAATAACTGGCCATAACTACAATTTTTGGCAAAAGATATCCAAGAACATTTGCATTTGTTGAGATCATAGACAGGGAACACCATTGGAAAATTCGTAAACTTAAGGAATCAGTACATATGCTAGGCCACAAAAATCTCCTGAGCCGACCAAGCATAGAAATAAATACCATATGGGAACCAGTAATAAGGAGTGCCAGAGAAAAGCAATGATAACAAAGTTGCAATATGAACTCTGGTAAAAACATGCAATGATAACAGCAAAATTGCAATATGAGCACTGGTAAAAATCGGTTGCTGAAAACATTAGGTTTATAATACCCAGAAGTTCATACCCAGATGTCCTCAAGGCACAGTGTATAAAGGCGTTGGTTAGATCCAGTGACAGACCCAAAGAATGTGAGTTCAATACCCGGTTAAGGCAGTGGAGAACTTTCAGAGGGAAAATTAGCAGGAGATAACTGATAACTGACATCCATCAAACATGGCACGTGGAACTAGAACAGTCTACCCCAGTGATCAAAATAAAGGGTTCAGTTCGAAATTCCAACCACCTGAAGAAGGCCAGAGTGTACAATGGCCGAAACGTTGTGACAAATATGGCGACAAAGATGAGTGTTCCACAATAGTCCGACTAATGTAAATACTGTACATAATATCTCATCTCAGAAATATAGACAGAACATTTGCTTTATTTATTCCTTTTCCTTTTCGGTTTTTGTCTTGATGTCCAATACACTGAACTCTAATAATTGACAATTGATATCAACTAGCATTTAAGAGAAGAATTTAGTATTTGAGAATAAAAAAATGTGATCCTAAGTGTTTCTTGGATGTATTTGTCTCTCTTTATTGATCAACTTAAACCAACTGCATCTGTTCAAATCATAAGCTATTTCACAATAAAATTAAGAATTATTTAACTTGAATGGTAAATTTGCTAAACAAGACTGACCAAAAGTTTGAGTTCAGTCAATACAAGAGAAGATACAATGACAATTAAAATAGTTTCTTTTTCTCCCTATCTTATATCAATTATTTACTTGAAATTCTTTGTTTTGTTTTTTTTAGTCTTCTTACAAAAGATACAGTCAAGAACATAAAGCAATTGCTGTCCCATTTGAAAAAGCTCAAGTGACACTCAACAAGATTCAAAAGAAAAACAAATCTCGACTGACACACAGTGAAAAAGAAGTGAAGGTAGGAATGTTTACATTTATCATTGTTTGTTTTTGTTTTTTTAATCACTTTCACCCCATAAAAGGCAGTAAAACCACTCAGACACCATAGATTACAAGGTATGGAAGAATTAGGAACAGAAACATTAATAATGAGCAAGAAGAAAAAAGACTAATCAGGAGGACAATAGATAGCGATTGATATTGCATTTAAATTTTTGCAGATTGAAGTCAGCTGAAAAGCATAAAGCCAGAAGGGAATTCCACAAGTGAGAAGTTCGAGAAAAGAAATTGTTAGCATAAAAAGTATGGTTATATGTAGCCAGCTCAACTGAAAATTGATGAGATATTGATGCCAGACTATTACTGTGCTTAAATTCAAGAAGTCTAGGTACTATTAAAGGGCTCATCCAAACAATTACCTTGAAAGTATTTATAGAAAAGACAATCAACTTTACAACAGTGGGAAAGTGACTGAAGCCAAACCACCAGATCAGGACCAATAATATTGCAGATTCTTCTTTGGATCTCACTGAGGATCTCTAGATATATGTCAGGGGCACCAGACTATATGTGGCAGCAATATTCTAAGCATGGACAAATGGTAGACTTATAGATATGCAAGATAGATTCTGGAGAGAAAAATTGTCTTGGCAGCTGACCTAGCAATGTATTCAATATAGTCTTTCTACTGCATGTCAGCTGAGAAACGTGCAACAAGTCACTTTCTTGGAGGTTAGCATCAGCCATACTGATGGAAGTCAGAGGGGGGGGGTCACTCAGATGATGAATAGAGAGAAGTTTAGTTTTGTTGTTTTTCTTTGGGTTGAGAGGTTTTCATTTTTTTTATTAATATAAATGTTTGTGGAAGAATTTATTTTAAATCTCTGGCTTTTATTTCATACTTCAAAGCAGGTTTTCAAACAAAATAGAAAAATTCTCAAAGCCAAACTGATTATGAAAATATTAGCTAAATATAAGCATAAAGAATATGCAGTTTTAAATTACATACTTGTAAGAAAAGATTATTTGATTTTTATAGGAATCAATAAAAGAATCTTTGTCATTTATATGACTGCATTAATGTAAATAAATTTATATTGTGTTTTTCAAAACAGACTCTTTGATTTCAGGGGACAATTCAGAGTGTAGCAAATGGATTCATTTCAGAATATTGCCAGTGTGGATAGGTAGTAGGATAATTACTTTATTAGAAACTTTGAGAATAAAACAAACTGATTCAAGGTTTTAAAATAAATAATATATTTTTATTTATTTTAAATGTGATAAGTGAGTCCTTTTGGTATTTGGCATAGCAAAAAGTTATTAAGGCACATATTGATAGCAGTCTGGAGATAGAGGTAGTAGTAATACTGAGTAATTAGGTCAGTGTTAATGTTCTGTGTTCTTTTTGGTTCTGAAACAGGGCGGAAATGTCAAGAGTATATGATCTCTTAACTGCTTCTTCACATGTCACACATGGCTGGTTTCTCTGAGGTAGTATTCTTTTGTTCCATCTGTCATTCCAGCCTAGAAGTGTTGGGTTTTTATCCTTTTGAATAAGCTCAGAGTTTGGCAGGAACTTTGGTTTCGGATAACATCAAAAGTCTCTTTGTGTCAGTTTTTTTGATTGACCAAGTTATTTTATTTTCTGACGTTCTTTTCTGTGACATTTTTTATAACAGAAGTTATACATGAAACCTCCTTGAGTATTTTTCTGTCACAAATAAGTCAGCTCTTCTGAAAACTTCCAGTGTTTTTGACTTGGTTCAGTCTTTTCTTCTTCCTCTTTTTATTTAAGGGTTGGCTTCTCATAGGCTGAGAGAAATGTTTAGAAAAAGATAAGGGTTTTAAAAGAAAGTGAAAATACTTTATTTTAATTATTTTTATTTTTTGTTTTTCTTGGGACTCACTACAAGAGTAACTTGGAACAAGATCTATAGAATCCCAAGTCACTGTTGTTGAAGAATCATTTAAAATATAATGGAATTGTGAGTTATTTTGGTAATCTGAAAGCTTTGAAAGTAAAAAATATTTTTGTATGCAGATAAATCAATACATCTGTAACCTAATATGGAAAATTTTTTTTTAAAAATAATCACCTTAATCCAATTATAAATATTGTGTAGCTCTACAATTATACAATGAAAATTCCAGATCCAAATTCAGCTAATAACTGTCAGGCTGTCAATTTATCTGTGTTCCATCATATATTCAAAATATACAATCAATAAAATTAGTAATAGACAATAAACATCAGGAACTTAAATAATTTTCATTGGCAACAAAATTTAGTTGTTTCTTTTTAAAATTTAATTTTTCTTTTTAACATATTTTTTTTTTGTCTTTCTTACAGTATGCCCAAACAGTGAGTCGAGCTCAGATGAGGCTACATGATCACCGAATGGCTGGTTTACAAAAGGTATTTTCTAGCAATATTTTTTCTTTTTGTTAAAAAATTGGATTGTGATATTAGTATTTTTCCTTGAATTTTCTTAATCAAAATACTTTAAATAATTATCTGTTGACAGGCTATGTTGGATGAATGGAAGTCCTATTGTTTCTTACTGGAATGTTTATGCTCTGGAATTACATTGATCAATCAACACAGTAACAAGGTAATGTATTTACTATTTAAATCTTTCCTTGTTTTTATATACAACTAGCAATAGAGCCCGGTGTTGCCCAGGGGTGTAACAGTAAGAGATAGATCAAGTATCGACCATCATAAAGACTGAAAAATAAAATTGACAAAGATTATTGTTTAAGGTTGACAGACATGCATGTCTTAATTAGTTTTCTTTTTTTTTTTTTTAACGAATTGGTCAAACCCAAACCCAAACTCAAACAAAAACATTGTTTTCAATCGTTATGAGTCTATCGATTGAATAGAATTTTATTATAAACAATTGTCTTGTAAATGGAATTTTTAAAGCATTGTGAATGTAAAAATAAAGAAAAAGTGTGCAAGACAATAAGAAACACTACCTGCCAAAAAAAGTGAAGTTTTGTTGAAATCGGTTGAAAAATGTAGGAAATCCGATCCCATATATAAAGGAACACACACACACACACACACACACACACACAAACAACCTGGGTTTTATAATGAGTATAACTCGATATGAGTTGTCCCCCTTTCATTCTGGTGACTTAATCGTGTTTTCAAATTGATTTTGTGCAAAAACAATTGTTTTTCCAATTTTTGGCGCTGTCATAACCACCGCAGGGTAATTTTACAAGTCCTGTGAAGTTTTGTTGAAATCGGTTGAAAAATGTAGGAAATCCGATCCAATATATAAACGTACAGACACACACACACACACACACACACACAATCTGCGTTTTACAATAAGTAAGATTTATGATGACAGATAAGACACCCTCTCACTATTATATTTAATATTGCCAGGTACAAGTACTGGTAGTCTATGGAATCTAAATAAATATTAGCTTGTCACATAGAACTTCCACATATAGAAACTAGGAGATGGTTTTGAGCAGTTATTAGGTTGTGTGGAAGTCAAATAATATACTTATTTCATTTAATGGTCAACAGTTGGTAGGTTCATTTTTACACTTGTGTATGTGTTTGAAGGGTGCAATGGGTAAATTGTCGAAATTTCATATTTTTAATTTTGCACATGTGCATTGTTTTTGATTTTGTCAGCTGCACGGTGTAGTAGGGTCAATTGGGTACTGTCTGTGAGAAAAAGAGCACCATGATGCAATTCACTCCGCCAGAAATTTGGAAACAGTGTACTGTAATGCTTGGCATTTACATCTAATACAGACATTTCAGTGTGTTTGGGTGTCAATCTGAGGACCCTGCAGAAAATTCAGAAAGAGTCGGATGAATCTAATGGTGATTATGAATGTACAGCACATTGGAAAACTCATTCTGACTGTTCTGATAAAAAAAGAACTCCTGAATTTGTTGAAGGCCTGAGACTCAACACAGAAGGCTACATCAAGTGTTTTGAGGAGATAATGCTGTCCTGAGTCAAGAGGGTGGCTGCTGGAAGAACCTATATCTGGTAACAGGACTCTGCAGCATGCCACACAAGCAGGAGAAGACAGTCAGACAATTTCTGCAGCCACATCACCCCTTACATCAGATCACCTAACTCCCCAGACTGCATCTCCCTTGATTATTATGTGTGGGCGCAGTTGAGCGAGAGATCAACAAAACTCCTTGTAACACCAAAGATGAACTGAAGGCAAGGATTATGGCAGCATTCACTGACTTTGATAAGGAAACCAGCCAGAAGACTTGCAGGAGATTCTGAAGTTATCTGGAGGTCGTGGTTGAAGCCAATGGTGATTTTTATTAAATAAATTTACTCTCAAGATCTATTTCAAGATATTTTTGTTTAGTTTTGGTAAATATATTTGTTAAAATGAAATCTCAGTGTTTCATTTTTACATAATATAGATGAAATTTATCCATCATACTCTGTGTGTGTGTGTGTGTGTGTGTGTGTGTGTGTGTGTGTGTGTGTGTGTGTGTATCAAGAATAATATTGGGGAAAAATGTATGAAAATAGAAAAAGCTTTCTTGTGACACTTTTCATCCTTTGGGACTTCATCAGATGTGACTACAATATTTCTTTCATTACGGATAGATAGATAAAAAGGAACAATCAATTAGCTTACCTTCATACCCTGCCTGGTGGCAAACGCTGCTGGTAGCGCCAGGGGTGGCGGTCCTGCTATAGCCACCAAAACCATATTACCCCTGGCCGGTGGCTGATGAAGACAGGGTATCGCATGTGCTAACATGCATTAACACGCGTTGTATGTTAAAAAAAAATACACACACACTAAAAAATGAAAGCAATTCCAAATTCTCAGTGTTTCTTTTATCGTGTACATGTATATCTGGAGCAGTTTTAGGGAAAGTAATTATGATAGTGGAAGGGGGTTTTGTGCAATACATTTTGTCCTATAGCAGTCTGAGTTTGTGTTGATGCAACTACACATGAACAAAAGAAAGAGGATTTGTAATTTCTTTCTTTAACGTGTTTTGTGTGTGTATATATATATATATATATATTATCCAACGTCAATAGCATGACTCAGAGTTTCATGCAGATTTGCAATCTTCAGGTGCTGGATACTGTCTAACTTATAGTGTTATGAAACTCATGTTCTTGTGGTGATGATTTAAAATTGTATGATAAGATTTGTTTATTTTATTATTGTTGCCTAAAATATAATTATTTATAACTTATATCATTCTAATTCTTAAGTTTGAAAGATGAAGAATTAAAAAAAAAAATTAAAAATTATTTTAAATGAAAAAATTTGGAAATAGAAATTATTCATTATGTATCAAGGGGGATAACTCTCTTTTTTGCATAAAATACCATTGTTTAAAGCACTGTCAAATTGAATAAACTTAGTACTCACATTGTTAATATAATAAGTCAAGAATATTCCAGAAATTTTTTCGAGGTCAATTATTCCTGAAATATAAAACAGTGATAATAAATTTTCCCCTTTTTTACCGGGCACCCTGTATTTATCCTAAAAGCAAATAATTTCTTTTAAAAGTTCCTATATCTTGCTTGTAGAAGCTTGCTTTTAATAAATGGAGCATGCACACACATGTATATACTAACAATCTAAAAAATAGCTAAAACAAAATTTAAGCACTTTTTTAAAATAGTGAATAAAACTCAAATGAAGGACTTAAATGGAAATGTTCGAATTCTCTCTAAATGTGAAAAACATTAGGATCTAATTGTAAGAACTAATTTCACTTTAAACAAAGCAAAAAAATTATATTTTTTTAACCAAAAACATTTAGTTAAAAAAAACTTAAATGAACCATTAACAAATCACATTTATTTATGTTTTCTCAGTAATGTGCAGAAGTAGTGCGATAACACCGAGTATCCATAAAAGGAGCAGGAGGACATCCAGTCAAAGAGTGAAATAAAAATTTAGTTAATTTTAGTTTAACAATTTAACATACTTTTACTGCTCCTTATAGAATTCTGGGGTGCAATAAGAAGCAAAATGGCTAACTTCCTCGTGTTTACATACAAGAAGACACCTGCACTTTTTTGGTCTTTCTTTCACCTATCATACTTATTTGTCTCATTGACAAATAAAGTTATTATTTTGTCATTTATAAATAGATAAAATAATTCACCTTCAGAAAGACAATCAGGTATATCAATGGTTGCCAGTAGCTTCCATAAAATTAGTCAGCCATGGATGATAGTAGCTGCTAGTAGTCATCAATGTTTTCCTCCATATAGTGACATGTGGTTATCATCTTTGACCACTTCACCATTAATATCCACTTGAGTAAAGCTTTCAAAATCATCACTGAAGACCAAATCAAAGAAAAACTGAATAAAGGCTTCATTGGATGTTGATGCAGCCATTCTTGTTTACAAAAAATCGTGAAAAAATTTAATATGGGTTTAATCAATGTTACACTGTTATATAGAGTGTAGAAGAATTCAAAATGGTATTGGAAAATGAAAGTTTAGCTTCATTCCAAGCAGTAGTAGGCAATTCCCAGTTTAAAATACTGGCAATAACAGCTGACAAGTGTTTATTTATAGCATCCATCTCAAGGTGACATAATGCACCTAGATCAGCAAAGGGAGAGAATTCTACAGCATCAATTTTCATCTCCAGTGTGGTAAAGGTTAAGTATGGAAGAATTATAACAGCAGTTGTTGGAACACCAGAAACAATAAAATTTAATTGAAATAATACGGAAGAAAACGGAAAATTCCCAAAGTTCTTTTACTTCTGAAGCAGTGGCAAATGCCATAGCTGAATTCACATACAATCCAGATATAGGAATTACCTTTTCTGCTTATTTTAGAAGATACAAGCAAATTTTCCGAAGAATGCAGTGACTGGGAAGATCAGGAAAAAAAAAACTTTTGTTGCGAAAGTTAGCACCAGTAGAAAATGAAAAATACTGTAATTTTGTACTAGCAACAACATAAAAAAAAAACAAGAGAAATTTGCTTTGAAGAAACAGTAAATATCCTGACTAAAACTTTTAGCAAGAAAAGTTTGTTATTCAATACTCATTGGAAGTGTATGAATCTGACAAAAAAAAAAGACAAAGATTTTAGCACATATGCGGGAATTGTTAACAAGTAATGTGAAAGATTCAAATTAAATGAACGGACTCTGAATATGTTTAAAGGGTTAATTTTCATTCTAGAGTTAACAGCAAAAAAGATGCAGAAATACATGCTAGAATTCTAATGAAACTTTAACAGAATAAAAAAAAAACTAACACAACAAGAAATATTAGACTAATGTCAGAGAATCCTAAATCTGAGACATGATACAGAAGAAGAAAAAGAATGTGCATACATACAAGATAAAGAAAAATGTGGAAAAACAAAAAATAATCCATGTTTCAGATGTGGAAGGTTACATCTTGGAGATGACTGTCCATTTAAGAATTCAAAGTGCTACAAGTGTGGAAAAGTAGGACATAAAATGTCACACTGCAAAACTAAAGCAAAGAAAAAATTCTCACAGAAAAGATTTTGTAAACAGCATTGCAACATTAAAAATAATTACAGAAAACCAAACAAAAGTTATGTATGTGAAACTTAATAATGTGGATGTA